ACAGAAGTAGACTGAGTGAGCTTCTAAAGCACAGGAACAGATACGTTCTCTGTTGCTAACAATGCGTAAGACTTGTTCTACATCAGAAAAAAATATACATTAAGGATTTTTTTAAAAAAAGGTTAAATTGTCAGTTAATGGTTGTGTTATCCGGAATGCGTTTGAAGATGGCTGTCTTGTGGGTTGTAGGGCCGTGTGTAGTCTGGTAGAAGTTTATCGACGTTTCAAAGGTCCATCAGGGCAATGATGGAGGTAGGAAGGACCTCTGAAACGTCGGTAAACTTCTACCAGATTACACACGGCGGAACAACCCAGAAGACAGCCCATCTTCGGACACACCGCAGTGAGAATGTTAAATCCTACTTGGAATTTGGATCGGACACAAAGTAGGTTGAGCAATTATTTTGAAGAAATGAGCTGGTCACTCGCTGTTTGATCGTCTCGGTGTTTAATTCTAGTTTATAGACAAGGAACCTCACGGCAACGTATTTAATTCGTCAGAGTCTATTGTAATTCTGTTTATCCTTGTCGCAACAAGAGAGCACGTAATTAAATGTTATCGGCAATTGTGCTTATATTTCTTAGGGCTTGTTGATAGTCGCTGGTTCATTTATAATTTTCTAAAAATTTTAATGTAATTGGAGCTGCGGTGATTTTGTCATGAATAATTACACATCAACAAAATAATTAATAGTGACTTCAAAAAAAAGAAAAAGAAATTCACTGATAGTGTTCTCATATTAAAACAGTTCGTATATGTGTTTTCTTTACTTTAATATAATTTGAAGTAGTTTAAAGCTAATCGGCCACTACCTTAACAAGCTACTTAAGAAATTTAATGATAAATTTAGCACAAGTGCACTTCGAATTTTACAGAAAATTAAGCCCTGGAAATCAAAGCCATTACATCACCTTCAGAATGCCAGACACGCTGTGGGTTGTGGGAATCGATCCTTATGTCGATATTCTTTACATACGTATATTCAATCAAATATGAATCGATCTTTGTTCGATCTTTAAAGAGTCTAGCTATTGAGTGAATCCATGATACAGACTTTGTGAAGTTTCTGTGCTTCACCGCGTTCACATCTGTTATGAGTTTTAGACATTAAAGCAAAGGGATCCATTTTCCTGTCAGGTTTAAGTGAAGGGAGACTGGGATTCACCGTTTGCCTCCATCTTTTGCCTTCTTCGACTTAAGCGTCGAGTATTATACAGGTGGAATAGTACGGCGCTTATGAAAGAGTAAGGGGAAATTGGAATATGTTACTAAGGCATTTCCACAACTTGGAAGATCTAAGGAAAACCACAGACCCCTCGGTGAGGTCATGGCCCTGTACAAAGGCCACAGGGTCATGACCTGATGAATGGGATGGACAAAGCTAGCAGTCACTTCAAGATGACGCTTGGCCAATCAAATAACGAGGTCTACGGTGCGTGAAGGCTTAACTTCGGCTCTGTTTTTCGCCTTCAAGTAGTGATCAATACGTACCGGAACGTTACGTTATGCTATCAAGAAATTATTTAAAGTAAATATTTTGTTCGCATTTCATAATCTCGTAAGTCATCGGCGGTATTGTGCAGATAGAAGAGATCTGTAAGGGTAGGGCCATCGGACCCTGATGATTGAGGCAGCAAGCATATATGAAAAGTCGGTAAACGTCTATCAGACTTTTTGAGACGCAACAACGCAGAAGTCAGCCATCTTTAATATTACCGTCGTGAGAACTTGAAGTCTTACCGATTAGATTTTAAACATTCTTAACGTCGTGAAGGAGAGAACGAAATTACTTCGGTGTTTTGTTCGTTTTCTCCCGTCGCCACATAAAATATCCCGCCGTCTCATTCTGCGTTAAGTAATCTCTGAATCTGGCTGTACTCTGTAGAGACAGCAGTCTCAAGAAATTTTCCGTCTTCTTTCGAACGCCATCACCAAATGCTCATCCTCAGGTACATGAATCGAGTTTACACATGCGTACACACCCTAATCAATTTTGATGTTATCCTAGTATCTGTGCCAAAGTCTCCAAAATGACGTTTCCTTCAGAAAATCCGACTAAAATTTTGTACGCATTTCTTCCCCCTAAAGTTTATTCAACTTCTTGAGACGTCCCTCTGCCCAGCTGACAATTTATTCAGCTCCGCGGTTTTGAGCGAACATTCGCTTTACGCGTTTGTGCTTTCGTAGTGCAAGAACCTGAATAAGTAATGCCTGTCGCTAAAATTACATTCATGACTCATCGAATCGGTTCTTTTTTACACGGACACAAGAAATTAATGAAGTTCAGACGCACGCAGTACATCGAAACTAGCCGACGTTTTCTTGCCAGGTACCACGCAGTTTTGAAGACACTTTGGTTGTGATTATTTCACAAACGTGTATAAATTAAAAGCGGTATTTAAAGCTGTGTCTGCGAAAATTCAATTATAAACAGCGTTTGAAGTGTAATAAAAGATAGAATGAAAAGATTTCTCAGCTTGGCGTGGGTCTCTTTGTTAAGATAGAAATTTACCAGATTCTTTTTATTTTTCTATCGGTCACATCTTCCAGCTTCAATGGAATGGCACCTCTTCAGAGTAAATGGAATTGCGAATCCATTGAATCTAATCTACAGAAAGCGATCTTTTTCGAGCGCAGGATTCAGCAGATAGTACAATAAGATCATTTTAAGGTCTTAAAGCTATTACACGACCCCCTGAGGGAACATTTAGGTTAACTAACTAACTCCCTGGTAACACCGACAACACCAAAGCCCGCCACCGGACACGATCCTTAGCCAACTCCATCCATTTACCATCTTCACAGCCTACCTCCCTAAGATCCACCTTGATATTATACTCCAGTCTCCTTCTTGGTCTGTCCAGTTGTCGTTTTCCAGACGGATTCCCTACCAAAATCCTGTGTGCACCTCTTGCCTTCCCCAAATGCGTGCTATATGTCCAGCCCATCGGAGACTCCTACATGTCACTATCCTCACTGTGCTAGGTGACCCATACAATTCTAAATTTCCCACTTGTTTCATCCCTCCTAGATCTAAATATCCTCCTGAGTGCCCTGTTTTCAAACACTTTTAATCTAAATTCTTCCTTCAAGGTAAGAGACCGGTTTTTACAAATGTACAAGACAACAGGCAAAATTATTATATTATATATATATTTTGATATTTAGTGTTTTTGATAGTAAACGAGATAATAAGTTTCTTAATTGAATAAAACCAAGCATTCCTTAAACATATTCTACTCTTAATTTCAGCATGGATCTCATTTCTATTTGTTATTGTTGTTCCCAGATACTTAAATTTATAATAATTTTTCAAATGATGTGTTACTTATAATTATGTTCTGCCGTTTTCGCTGATGAGGAGGCTAGGGCTCGATTTTGGGCTGTTACGCCATAGTAGTAGTAGTTTTCGCTGATGTAGATCTCGTATTACGCCCATGTATTTGGTTTTGGCTACGTCTACGTGTAGGCCTATTTCCTTGCTAGCCTGTAGGAGAGTTTCTGCATTCTTGGTTTTGGTACCCATAAACCATCCCCCAGCAAATTATCATCAGCATAGGCAAGCACCTGGTGCAGACCATTTCATTTTAAACCCTCCTGAATCCCTCTGACTTTCTTGATGACATGTTCTAGAGAAAAATTGAAAAGCGTTTTGCATAAAAGTTCATACATAAATGGCGTTAACCGTGCCAGAAGAATATTCGATAAAAGAGAGGAACCTCGGAAGGTACTGCACTCGGTGTTGTCCCGTTTTATGGATACGAACAACAATTAAATCTTTCCACTTTTGTGGTGATATTTCCTTGTTCCAAATCGAGAATTTTGACCTTAAGTATTTATGAGTGCAGTGTCCTACCATCTGAATGGATTAGTTCCGCCGGAATTAAGTCAAAGCCCAGAGATTTATTAAGTTTTAATTTCCGAATGGCAATTTCAGCTTCATTAAAGCGCTCAGTTCCGGGTTGAAGGGCTTTGCTGGCTCATTAAATTGATCGACTACGTGAACGTTTAGTAACTTACTACAGTAATCTTTCCATCTGTCTACTATACCAGGGAACATTTATATTACAGGATCAAATTCACAAAGAATTATCAGTGAAGCCAACAAAATCGAGACTTATCATTTAAATGTTCATCCATCAGCGGGTTTGAAACGCATAACTCATAACCACTGTAAAAATGAACTTGGTTATGTAAATCACAGCTAACGCGCTGCGGAGTTAGGAATGTCCTTTCAGTTACACACTGACTCCACGTTTCCGGATTTTGTCAGTGAACCACAGCTTCTGATTTTATATTTAATTATTGAGTAGAATATTTTAATTCGTCTTACTTTAACCGTCCAAGTATTAACAATCGTGTAAAGGATTACTCCATTTCAGTACACGCCCTTCGGACGTACTCATATTTAATTAATTTTTCTGAGTATTTACTGCTGAAACAAATGTATTATTAAATAACTCATCACAGTGCACATAATGCTTTGTGCTCTCAGAAATTATTTTGCCTTGGGCCCACTGTTTCTTTGAATCTGTAATGAAAAACGTTTCTTTAAAAAAAAAAAAAACTTTTTTGAAGATGGCTGCCTTCTGGGTTGTAGCGCCGTGCAGTCTGGTAGAAGTTTACCGACAGAGACAGAAATTAACAGACAACAAGAGGAATTTTATATGTAGCCGAAAATGGATTACAAGCTTCTACTGTGAGCATTCTTACGCGTCATTTACTCGAAACTGTTAAGTGACAATACAGAAACTTTGCTAACTCCATGGAAAATCTCCCACATTTTCTGTTTCTGTCACGTGACAAATGTATGTCATATATAGCGAAGTGAAATATTGTAGAATAAGTTACGTGTTTCTCTTCTTTTCAGAGCAACCGCTGTGTTATTCTCGGATTACGACAGTGTGCAGTGAAATTCTCGCATATTCATAATGTTCTCGCCCTGCGGCTGGCTGACTGGCTAGTGTCTGGTTAACTCAAGTTTCCGTTCTCGTTTCAGTACGCTCACGCGATCTTCACATTTCTTCAGAGAGCGGGGAAGACGCACGAAACAAAACGGATCTCCGTGTTGGAAGAACGTACAATATCGAGTGTTCCAGAAATTACGTTCCAATTATGTGAATTGAGATTAGATCGTGAGCCCAGGGTCCGTTCTTCTTATCTCATGCCCGGGGTGTTAGAACAAGACGGAATAGTTGCTGGCAAAAACGGTTATCCTTACCAGAAAACACGGCTGTGTGAAAAATATTTGTGTTGTATCGTGCAGGTGTTTGTGTCATGTTCCAGAGACCGGTTAAAAGAACCCTGTTTCATGACCCGGTAAATTAAGGGATTAGTTCTAAAATGAAAGGGGTGTTTCCTGTTGAACTATCTCAGTTCCACGTGTTAAAGCAGTTTGTGAGTAAAGTGACTAACAACTGACACCTCGCAGTTCAATTGTTCAAGTCACGATGCCTGAAGAGTCCGACTATGGGGCAGTATTTACTGAACACGTTGTATCTTAATGTTAGGTTAGGTTTATGACATTGTGTTTTCAAAAAACTATACCTTCCTTGTGCCTCACACTTCGTTTGTTCTTTAGCCACTGATGAATGAGAGTACAAATCAAACAAACACACATAGTCTACCAGTGTCCGAGGTACTGAAACAATTCTGGATTATTTTGCATTCCTTGCAAGAAGTGAATGGCGAGAAGGCATTATGGATTGATCATGTTTAGTCGATTCAAGTCGAGAACCACTCGACAGATTTGGATGAAATTTGGTGTGGAGGTTGTGCCGTTCTGTAAGACTTCAGAATCGTGCTTTTGATTATCCAAAGAGCGCTGATAACAAAATGGCGAATGAGGAAAGTCGTGAGGTGGACATCGAGGTGATAGGATCTGGTGACCAAAGTGGAAATTATCGAACATGGCGGATTTTATACCTCTAAATGCACGTTTTAAAGAACGCATGAAGATATTATGTGTATACCAGCACGGAAACGCGAATCAGGTGTTGCATTTTGTAACAAAGGTGTATCTTAGAAGTGGTCAAACAATCTGTTTAAAATACTTAGCTGCATATTCCATACATCGCACACAAAATGAACATGGCCAGTTATTTTATAGTTAGCGATATTTGAGAATCTTATGAATTACCAGACATAAAATAAACAAGTCGCATCCTTTTTTAAAGACCTTTTCTAGTTTTTGGAATGAAATTATCAAGGAAGAATAAGAACAGGAGTGAAAAGGTGTATTATCTTTCTTATTATTCTATTAACAGCTTCCAACTTATCATTAAACCATTAAAGTCGAGTTGTAACTATTTGTGAAACGAAGCCTTCACGCTACACGTAATGGAACAGACAGAAAATATAAAATGGTTTTAATGCTCATCACAGACGATTTAAATGAGCATCGATTGTGTCAGCCTTCGGGATATCGTGATTCTAATTCAGCTCTTAGATTCGAAGCTTTGTTTGTGAACCGTTGTGATACTGGCGCTGGAGTACATAATGAACGTAAGAATGGGACGTACGTCTGAACGTACAGTTACCTGGAAGCATTAAAATTCTGTGATTCAGAGGAAGAATTATGTAACATATGGAGGTATTTTATGTGTCTTCGATAGTCAATATTCGGTGAACATACCACGAGAGTGAATCTGGAAACGTTAACCGTTTCCCGAAGCTGTGGGCGAAAGAACGCGACACCCATAAGTCACTTAGAGTCATCTTGATGTCAAAGGAATAACTGTTTCATTATCAGACTACCAGAAACTGTTAAATTAAGTTAATTCTGGCTAATATAGCCGATGAGACAGCCAACGACCGTAATATTGAGCTATTGTTGGTTACCACAGAGACAAATAGATATTTTAATTTAGTGAATAATTTCCACAGTCCATAAGGCCCAAAATCCCATGACAGTAAGTGATCATTGTGTCATGGCAACCGTTAAAGCAAGACGTATATTCATTAATCGTATCCAATAAGGCCCAAAATCCTTTGACAGCAGATGATCACCAACGAACGAAGCTACCAAAGGTTGCTTGAAAATATTCGGAAGATGTTTTATTTTCAAAAGAGGCAAGCACACAATCAATGGTCTTACGCTGTATACGACATAATTATGGGGCCTACAAGGCGTTCCTTGCTAATTGTGGCTGCGAGTGACTGACAGCGCCAACGGAAACGGACGGTGACCTTGAGGTATCTCGATTGTGTCCACGTGGCAGAGTGTGTCCTAGTTCGACGGACTTCCCTGTGGGAGAAGTTACGAGCTTTTATCATTTTTTGAAATGCTGAAGTAGGACAGAGGATATGTTTTAGAAGCGAGATAGTTGTTGGGGAATAGCATAATTTTTGCATAATGAGTCTCATGAATGAACTGCTAAAAAATTCCCTTCCTCATAATTGTTGGTGTCCGATGACCCGGGACGAACACTTTTCTATGGTTTTTCATCTTCTCTCACGTGCTACGTGCTCTACCAATTTCACAATATCTGATTTGATTGTCGTAACAGAAGTAGTCACGAGTTCAAGTTCCTCATTATGAAATTTTCGCCATTCTTACGTACCCCGTATTCCGTAAAAAAAAATCATTCTCTTAAACGCCCCATCTACAATACTACCAACAAGAGTTATCTGTGGTTTTAAGTCGTTTGCTTTAATCTTCTTCACGTCTCTTACATTTGAATCGGAAATTCCCTTCGAGAATGCATTTGGGTCTTGAATAATTTGCGATGCAGTTAACAGTTTTGTGACGTTGAAGATTCTACCTGAAACAACGTGGGAAATTAAGTGCACGGTCCCACTAATTGGTCCGTTTGCATGCGAACACCTTTGTCAAAAACTGATTAATATTTATAATAAACAGGTAGAATGTCTGTACCGATAAAAAAAAAGATAGAAAAAACACATTTTCAAGAGTTTTGCACGGTCACTGATAATCAATTAGTTCGTTAGTAGCGAAGTCTGTATGACACTATCGGTATTGTCCACCTTGCAGTTAATAACCGTCACCATTTCCTACCACCTCCATCTTGTTTACGAAGGCCGGTATCGTCGTTCAAGTGTTTCATGGAATGGTTACTCGTTTTTCCGTACGGACGCTTGTAAGAGTAATAACAAACATGTTAATTACAGAATCGTTCTTTTGCAGACTATTTACAGTAAGTACTTTACAAGAATGGATTGATAAAATGATAAAAATATTGTGGAAACTGAATTAAAGAATTTAATTAAAAGAATAATAAGCTAGTGTTAAGGAAGGAGAATAAGCTATGGTTTATGTACATAAAGTAAGAGAAGTAGCCGATTAAATGTTATCAAAGCCTCGCCCTGGAAATTATAGGAACATGGAACGAATTTAAAAGTGAAGAAGTTATAAAATTAAGCCAGACCTTGGCAGCTACAGGCACCTAAGTTGAGGAAGAAATGTTACAGAATTACAAGATGATTCACGAATGAACATGATATGTGGAGCGGAAATATGGCAGTAGATGAAATGCGGGAATAAATTGACCTAATTCAAGGAAGATTTTGTAAGAAAGTGTAAAAGACAGAGATTTACAGCTAAAACATTTAGTTGATGGACTCTGTGCAGTCTCTGACTGTGAAGAATTTTGCAGATGCGCAGGGAAGAACTACCAAGAGGGTATTACGAATGACAATTTAGATTTTAGAAGTTGGCAAGAATATTGAGTCAAGTTTTGAGTAAAGAAAGGGGGATGGGAAAAATTTATATGAGAATAGTTTGAACAGAACATGTAAAGTAATGGAAGAAGTATATAATGATATAAATCGACAGGAATTGTTTGCAATTATAATAGATAATAGGTCATTTCTTGTGACATGAAACTGCAGTCGGCTAGGGAAGGCCGTAGTTTTTCTGTACAAGAAATAAGGGAAATTTATTGGCATGGCTCAAGGTTGGTATATGGAAACTGCGAAGGGACGAGGAGAAGGTGTGAGGAAACAAGATGTCCTCTACGTGGAAAGAGAGATGTCACGCGTGTTAAAATGTTATAAATAGGAAAAAGAGGGGGATAATTCTTTTTTGTTATAATAATCATTACAAGTTATTTGTACCCAGATTTGAGTAAGCATAGCCGCATTCTTTTCTGGGGTTTTGGCCCTCAACGTTACATAAAGGTAAAATAACTTCTTGGCCAGCTAAGAGACTAATACGTATCTTCTTTTGAAAGAGGTCTCATCTGCGTGTAGTTTCAGGTGACACCCAGGTTCAGTCCGGAGCTGATATTTAATCATTTAATGTGCAATACAATCAGCTTTAATATTTAGTAAATGCAAGTTTTTCACGTAGTAGTGGTACCATTCTCAGAACAAACAGCGACCTTGAAGATGGCTGTCTTCTGGGTTGTTACGCCGTGTAGTCTGGTAGAAGTTTACCAACGTCTTTCTTAATTTGCATTAATCCAATTGATATTCGTAATGAAAATGAACTAAATTTAAAGTTATTACTGGTATAGTGCCAGCAATGTTGCTGCCTTGTATTTAGACAGATGCTTACAATTGATATCAGTCTTCGTTATTCGATAGCTGAACATTGACCTGACCATTCGATAAATATCGTTAAATATCGTCGTAAAATATTATCCCTAGACCAAAACTCTTCACCGGTACTCGAATCCAGGACAGATTCTCGTCTTTTTGACCTCAGGCTATGAGATCTCCTCGCCGAAATAAACACCTTTGACCTAACGACCGTTCTTTTAAAGTGTCCAGTCCCCAAGATACAAGATGCACCTTTAGCGGTTTTCAAACTCAGGACTATTCTGAATCTTATCGTTTCTAAAATGTCTTCCTGGTCTCAAGAAATAAGCATGCCAAGTTTGGTACAAACCTGTTCATGCGTTCTGGAGCTACAAGTAAATGCACAGGCGCGTCGTTAATTTTAGAAACGTGTAGCATTAAATTCACGCTTCAGGGGGGCAGAATAACGAATCGGAGTTTTAAATCCGCCTCGTTTGAAAGCTTCGGTTCTTGCCGTCTTCGGCTGAAATTGCTACATCAGATTAGCTGCGCTACTGGTCGCTCATTTTTCACCCAGGGAGCACCTGACGCAAACCGCGATTTCATTGCAATCTATTCATGCACACACCCCCCCTTCATAACACCCCCACAGACTTGCTACCGTCCAGTCCTAAACAAAAGCACACCACGCATTCACCCCACGAAACCTGTTATTTATCCCTGATTCATATCACACGCACATACAGACAGAATTACTTTCACTTTAAGATAATTTATCCTTTGTCCTTGTAATCCTGGGGTCTCGGGTTCGATTCCCGGTGGTGCCCGAATTTATAACTTGTGTTGGGCCAGGCCGTGGTCTAGGCAACACGGAGTTTTCCTCCGTGGCATCCCAACAATTACTCCATTCACACACAGAAGAAGGCAATGGCAAACCACTTCTGGATCATGTGCCAAGAACGTATATGAACAGGTCCCAGTCCGAGAAAAGGATGGAAGGATCCTGTTCATATGGACCTGTCGTCAGACAGAACACTTAAAAAAAAACTGGTCCATGCACCGTCGACAGCTCCGAAAATACGGATTCACCCTCTTAAAAAATACCACAAAATAATTTTTTAAAGTGGCCTATGATACTCTTGGTGTATACTGCACCTCATCAAGACAGCTTATCACTTTCTATCATCTCTGCTTTTAGCTGAAGCGATGGGAATGTCTGTCTGTAGGACTACGCGATTCATCTCTGAAATAACATCGATATTTATTAAATTTTATGTTGGTTTATATTTGACAAAAGAAAACTGCATTGCAAATAATTTATTGACTGTGTAAATGTAATTTCCTTTGCAGCATTAACCTGATAATATGTCTGCAATTATGATTAGGGGTACATCACTATGCCAACAACTGAGTTTGGCCTTGTTTGGCTGTTGGTAATGCAACAAATAAATTGAAAGGAATTGTTAAAATGCAGCTGTAGAACTTATTGTTGTAGAAAGTGTTCAGATTATTAGTTCTGAGTCGTGTAGCCTAGTAGAAGTTTGCCGACGTTTCGGAAGTCCTTCCTGCTTCCATAATCAGGGCGACTGTTTGCCCTGATAGCTCTATAACCCAGAAGACAGCTATCATCTAAGTGTTCAGATATTCTTCTAGCAAGGGATTACAGTCAGATGCACTCGAAACCTGCTGTTTAAG